CAGTGGATGAATCTCGATTCACTATAATGAATCGAGATTCACTAAAGTAGTGAATAGAGATTCACTTCACTTCAAATAGTCACTGATGCGAAAGAAACTTCATCCCTTCGTATTCATTGTTTCACAGACATGTCTCTTCATAAAATAGGGGCAACAAACAACCAATGGATTCAGATTCGCTTGAGTGAATCCAGATTCAGTGGATTGAATCCAGATTCACTCCAACGAATCCAGTTTCACTTCAGTAGCAGCACAACAGCACATCAGCAGCAACACAGCACAACAAGACCACCAACTTGTGAACAACAATTAAATAAATATTAACTCTAACTTGTGAACAATAACTAAATAAATATTAACTAGATATGGCTCTCGATTCACTCCAATGAATCTAGATTCACTGGAGTGAATCCAGATTCACTCCAGCGAATCCAGAGAGAGAGAGAGAGAGAGAGAGCGGCGTCGGCGACGGGGCTTCAGCGTCTTCGGCGTCTTCGAGAAGCCGGTCGAGGGGAGCTCGTCGAGGGGCTTCGTCTAAAAGCGGGTCGAGAGTCTGATTGCCGTCGGCGATCTGTTCGAGGGTCTTCGACGTCGTTGGGAGATAACTGGTCGAGGGTCGTCGAGGGGAGCTCGTCGAGGGGCTTCGTCGAAAAGCGGGTCGAGAGTGTGATTGGCGTCGGCGATCTGTTCGAGGGTATTCAACGTCATTGGGAGATAACTGGTCGAGGGTCTTTGGCATCGGCGAGAAGCTGGCGAGGGGAGCTCGTCGAGGGTCCTCGGCGTCGACGCGCTCGTCGAGACTCGTCGGCGTGAGCTAGAGCGCAGGGGGAGGGAGAGCTCAGGAGGAAATTTGGGGATCTCAATTTGGGAGAGCTCGAGCTCTTTAATTCACGTGAGCTGCAGTTTCCAATATTTTAATAATTATCTCCAGATTTCAATGTTGCCAGCCACCATTGTTCGTTCTAATTTTACCCTTTTCACATTATTCTTTACAGCTGATGTGTATTAGATTTGTCTATATTTTCAATTCTGCCATCGAAATGTAGGCCATTGGATTAGATAGATTGGATGGTTAGGATAGGTTTTTAGTTCTCTAGGTTTTTATTAGAACCTCTCCATATATATATATATATATATATATATATATATATATTATATATATATATATATGATAATATATATATGATATAATATATATATATATTATATATATTATGGGTCCAAGACATGTATAAATAACTATTGCCGGCCCTTTTACCTTGGAAGAGAGAGTGCGACTAGAAAGAATATATATAGTATATATGGTCCAAGACATTGTATAAAATAATATGCGCCCCTTTTACCCTGGACGACGAGAGAGTGGGCCTAGAAGATATATAGTAATATATATAATATTATAATATATAAATAATATATATATCATATATATATATATATATATATATACTATATATATATATATATACTAGTATATATATATATATTTCTAGCCACTCTCCAGTCAAGGTAAAAAGGTGAGATGTCTTGGACCCCCCCCCCACACACACACACATATATATATTATATATATATATATATATACTATATATATATAATATATTAGTAATATATATTATATATTGATATATCTTCTAGCACCACTCTCTTCGTCCAAGGTAAAAGGTTGAGATGTCATTGACCCACACACCACATTATATATATACCTATATATATTATATTAGTATATATATTATATATATATATACTATATAGATATATTCAATTAGTATATACTATAGAAATATATATATAATATATACTATATATATATATATATATATACTATATATATATATGATGTATATACTATATATAATAATATATATAGTCTCTAACTTCAGCCACTCGTCTCCTTCACAAAGGCGGAGAAGGACAGTGCTTTATGCGATGTCCACCTCAATTTGAAGAATGAGGGCAAAAATTTTAAAAAAGATTTTATATTGGTCCCTATGCTGTGTAAATATTATTATTATCTATATAATATAGTATATATTATATTATATATATATATATATATATATATTATATATATATATATATATCATATTATATATATATATAATATATTAATATAGATATATTGCTAGTGAGTGTGGTGTGGTTGCTTGTACCAACACTATGTGATGTATCACATCCCCATCCATCCCTACCCATGTGATGTGTCTCAAATAGAATGAGGAGGGGAGGTGATAACTCTCACTACCAAGCACAACTTTTATGCTTCGGTACCAAGCATACCGATATTTTATCTTTTATAATATATATATATATATAATATATATATAATATAGTATCATATATTATATATATATATTAATATATATTATTAATATATATATATGTTTTTTTATAGAGTGCATGGGCACTTATAAAGAGAGGAGAGAGATGAGAGAAATAGAATAGCTCATGGGGGCTCACCTTGCTTTACATTAAATTCTCGTGCATAATTTACTTTCTTTCCTATGCTCTCTTCTCTTATAGAGGCATATAGACCTCATATAGAAAAACCGATTATTAATATATATAGTATAATATCTATATATAAATATATATATATATATATATGTATATATTATTATGTATATAGATTAATGGGATCCGCATTAGGAGGGATTTCCTCCTATGCGACGCTCATAAAATCACATGCAGTTGAGCGACATTGTGGATGATCCGCTCCGTTAAAACTTGATCTACATATCTCTAAAACCCCAACACACCAGTTTGGGGTGAACCCGTCGTCGCTTTGACCTCACTCACTCGTATCGATTTAACGGCTTTATATATTGATAGAACTTTTCACATTGGTTCGATGGGAGCTCAAACAATGACGGATTCACCCAAACTGCATGTGTTGGGCCGTTTTAGAATATGTGATCAAGTTCAACGGAGGGAATCATCCATATGCGCTTAATCAATGTGTTTAGAGGCAGTCAAGGAGGGAAATCGCCTCTATGACAAGTGATACCCAATTAATCTCAGTTATATATTATATTAGAGCAATATGGAGAACCTTCAGGTACCAAGTTGCTTAAAACAACTGTGAGTAGTGATGTGGATAATCTTGCCTTTAATCACACCTCGAAATAGCAGCCTCAACTACCATTACCAACTCCAATGTAATGTAGTGCAAGATTAGAATAGCATCACTACAAAGTTTTTTCTTGGCGAGCCAACTGGTACCAAGTTTCTCCATTTTTCTCAATAATATATATATATTTAATATATATATATAGTATAATTACTAAATATATATAACTTTATCCCCTGGCTTCTAGCCCACTCTCTCCTTCCAAGATAAAAAGGACGGCGCTTTATGCGATGTCCCCCTGGCTTCTAGCCCACTCTCTCCTTCCAAGATAAAAAGGACGGCGCTTTATGCGATGTCTAGGACCCACCTAAGAATCAGGTCAAATTTTTTTAAAAAAAGTTTTTTATATTGGTCCCTTGCATCTTTAGTTGTTTGACTTTCGCCCTCCTATAAATGAAATCGCTGTAAGTAAAAGTAGGTTCGGACAAATTTTTACAAAATCAAACCAAACCGAAGTGTTCTTTATTTAAAAATCATACTAAACCAACCGAAATTAATACGGTATTTTGGTTCAGTCTATCTGATTTAGAATTGGACTTGATTAATTAAGAAAAATGTTTATTTTTTAATTAAGAAAAATATCTAGTTTACTCAAAAGAAAGATACATATCAAGAACTCAGTAAAAGAAAATGTGCATTAAGAGATTAAACAATACAAATTAATTGAAATGATAAAAAAAAGAGTTTTTTAGACTAATTAGAAGAAATAAAAGGCATGTTTTAGACAATTGGGAGAGTTGTCGATTTGATTTGCTCTTGTTGCAGTTTTATCAAAAAGAACCGACCAAACCATGCTCTAAAGTTGAACTCAAAATTCCGTTGGTTTAATCAATTTAAACCCATTAATGCGCACCCTTAGAGCAGCTCCAATGGAGCGCCAAAACTCCATTTTGGAGTGTTTTGGCGCTTCAATGGAACGCCAAACACCCCGCTAAATTAGCGGGGTGCTACAGTATTGCGCTAGAAATGGCGCAACACTGTAGCAATGGCGCAGTATGATTTTTTTTTTTGCTTTTTTTCTTTTAAACTTTATTCTTTTATTCATATTTTCTTTTCTTTTTGCTTTTTTTTTTCTAAACTTTATTCTTTTTGCTTTTGTTTTTTATATTTGTATTAATAATATATATTATCTTATATTAATTATTATAATGAAATTAGAGTATAAAATAATTATTAAAATAAAATTAAAAAGAAATAAGAAAAACTACACCATTTAGATAAAAATTAGGACATAAAAATGTAATGTCTTTTATTTTTATTTTTTGCTTGCAAGTGTGATGTTTTTTTTTTGTGATGTTAAATGTAATCTTTAGTTGAATTTATGAAAATAATATTTTAATTTGATTTAGCATTTAATTTTTATATTTTTATTTTATTCATAAAATATATTATTATAATTAATTATATGTAATGTATTATATAATTACATAATTTGTTAAATATTTTAAATAGATAAAATGTTAAAAGATAAGAATAATAAAAGGAATATTCTTTTTGGTGTAAAATTTGGTGTAATAGGTTGGAGATGGAATAGTAATTTGGTGTAAAAACTACACCAACTTGATGTAAAAACTACACCATTTTGGGTTTTATGGTTGGAGATGCTCTTAGTTCATAGTTCCGGAGTTCCCTCTAATCAAATGCAGCAGCAACACGTAAAACTGAGGACCTATTAGCAATTGCAAAGATATGAGGGACTAACTTTACAATATTAAAATGTAAAAGGAGTAACACGGAAAATCCCAAACAAAAACAAAAGAAGAAAAAAGGTCAGCCATCCATCAAGGACCATGCTATCGCTGGGCCCCACCTCACTCTTCTCCTTCTTCCTTCCAAACCCTCGAAAATTCCACCGTCTCCGGATGCAATCTGAGCTCATCCCGCGCTCTCTTCCGCCGGCGGAGCGCGACTCTCCGCCTCCGACGCCGGTGTCTTCCGCGGAGGAAGCGGCCGTCGAGAGGCGGCCGTTCTTACCGAGAGTTTTTTCGTCGAACGAAGCAGTAGCAGGAGGCGGCGGCCGGCGATCTCCTCCGGAGTCTCTCGCCGGAACTCGTTCCGTCGAGACGTCGGCCACGCGGCGGCGGAGACGTTTCTGCTCACTAGGCTCACCTTGATCCTTCTCAGATATTTAGGGTACTCACTTACCGTAGACTATTTGGACATTTTTTTCTGGGATAAATTTCATGAAATTGCAATGAATTCTTAGGACTTTTGCGTAAATTATCTTGAATTATTTTTTGTTAGAGGAATAATAAGTAGACTTTTTAATGACATTAGTATGATTAGTTTATGTTAGTTTTTTAGAACTCCTAATCGTTCAATATAATTTTGTAAAGTTTTCCTTTTTGTTATGAAAACTTTTGTTTTTTTCCTCTAATAAAGAAGTTCATAGTTGTTTCTTTAGAACTCAAAATAGTTCATAATACTTTTGTGACATTTAACATGTTATGAAACTTTGTGATTTTTGGACGGCCATGTTAGCTTAAGGTGTAATTAGAAAATCCATTTGACAGGCTTTTCCATATAGTGGTGAATGGTGAATTTACTGTAAATTGGATAACCCCATTTTGTGTATTTTATTCTGCTAAAACGTTGATAAAAGTTAAAAAAAATCTGATCTTTGCAATTTTGAAAGCTATATTGTTTGCTTTCATGATCTGTGCAAGCCTTATCTTTTTCTTTGTTAGGCCGCAAGCAATGAGAATAACTTGCAAGCAACCTGTTTTGCTTGGGGCATCTGTCACATGCTCTCCACATGACCATCTAATCTTTTCACATTTGAATACCCTTTTGTCTGTAGCTTGAATGATTGAAACTCTTCTACTCTCTAACTGTGTCATTATTGCTTTTATCTTTGGTTATTCGCATTTAGCGTCTTAGTTAGCTGAGGAGATGACCTTTAAAAGAACTGACACCCAGAACTTGGGGATGAAGGGTTCATTGTTAATGATGTTATTGTTTTAATATTCATAGAGGGGGTTGTGTACTTTTCATCTCAATGCGAAGTTTGTAACTGACAGGTAAAATATAGGGACTAAAATCTGAAAACTTGTCTGTACTTAACATGAATTTTTTCATCATTCTCATCTGCTTAGAATAAAGTATATTAATTTTTAGAAAGAGGAGACCCGATTATTTCTAGCATTTAGTAACCGAGTAACTAGTCCTATCCTTGAAATCCATCTTTTTTCCTTTTCAGCGTGAGTTTCCATATTGATTACATCAAGCTCCTACTATCTATTATATAATATTGATTAGGATGTGTTGGAACCATAACCGTGCTATATGCACATGCTGAAATAAATGCTCTTGGAAACATCTCCAGGAATCTTAGATTTAAGTTGATGGAGTCTGCTATAAAGTAGGGACAAATGCAAATCTTAGCAAAGTCATATTGATTTTGTGATCAAGGGTCGGTGTCTTGATCAAATTGACAGAGTTTACATTTTGGACAAGTCCTACCACTATCTTACAAATTGATCAACATTCTAAGTTGCTATGAATAAGTATATTGCCAACTGAAGTAAACATGTAACCTGTTGTTTGCTGTTTTGGAATGACATGACAATCTAGAGCCCAGCAGTTGGATGTAGTTTTACTGAGGTTTAGGTTACTGATTGTATCTTGACATAGTAAATTGGTGATAAGAGGCATCCACAATTATGTTGTTTCTTGTTAGCTGAAGGTTGGACATATTATAGGGATGAATTAGAATAAAGAGCTATTGCTGAAAAGACAAATTAAGCAACAATGGAGTTAATATGAATACATGTCGATACAGTAGAACAAATAGGAATAAAATTTGGTACGTTCTGCTGTCCACAAACTAAGAAATCAGCATTAGTAAATGATGATTAATTCCGCAGATATCAGCAGATCGCTGTATTCTGCTGTAAGGATATCAATAAAGTAACTTGACCGAGAAAAAGTGTTGCAAGCTTGATGCTAGTTCGAGTCAGTTTGGCAGAAGAGAATGCTTAAGAGTTTAAAACAAGGGAAATGGGAGAGAAGAACAATAAAGCAGTGATGAATATTAGTTTTGGCAAAATAATATCACTGCTTTAGTAGTAGCCATTGGAGATGCCACTCTTCCTAAGGTTCACATTCATCTCTCTCCTCATTATACAGAGAAAAGAAAGAAAAATATCTAGGGATTTCTTCCTTAATTCGTTAGAAGAGGTTCTACTTTCATAATTTTTTCTGTCCTACAAACAGGAATTTGAATTGTGACCCTGAAAATCTCAACTCTCAAGTATCAAGATAGATTACTGGACTTGAGCATAAAACAATAACCTAATCACAGAAATAGGTCTTTGAGACTAAAGCACAACAGATGACCCTACTCAAGCAATGAGTAGAACAATGCTTCAGTAACTCATCAAGTCTACTATATACTATATAGTATAAGAAGGTGCATGTATATTTTGAACTTTGAGGCCTTCATGAGCCTTGACAAGTACCCATCATATGCACCACTTATCTCAAGACGTTATTTTAAGTGCAATCTTTCATTTAAATGTGAAAATAATGTTTGTTTTTGTACATTGCATCATTTTTATCCATGTAGTCAAGTATCTCAGATTTGATTTGTAGATTTAACTCTCAGATTTATTTATTGTTTTGCTTATTATGAGCGTAAAGTATAAATACTAGAAATTTGCACGTGTTTCTTATTGATAAGTTTTATTCAGGGTAGGCTATAGATGGATCACAAAGTTTCTTGCTCTTGCCTGTTATGCGATGTTGCTTATGCCAGGGTTTCTACAGGGTGAGTATTTGAACTGTCTTTTCTCTAGGTATATTTCTTAAATATGGACATTTTACTTGCTAATATTTAACTTATCAATCATCTTTTTTCTCTTTATGAGTTAAGAATAATTAGATACTCGTTGAATATACTATTCAGGATAATAATCTTCTCTAAGTGAAAGCTTAAAGTTGACATACATTATTGCCAGTTTAAAACCTTCTTGAATATGACATTTCATGTCCAAATTTGATAGACCTGCTTCCCATGTGGCAGTTGGATATTACTATTTCTTCTCAAGTCAAGTGCGGAGAAGTGTAGTTTATGGAGAGCAACCAAGAAATCGGTGTGGAATTTGTCACCATGTATCATGATTTCTGTTCTTGTAGGGTTTTCCAGTTCTGTCACATACTGTGATACTCTGTCTAATTGAGCTTTGATTCTGCAGTTTGGACCTGTATTTGCCAACGGATACTTCTGGCCGAAAACCAGTTGTGGCATTTGTAACCGGTGGAGCCTGGATTATAGGGTGAATAGACGGACTCATACACGCTATGCAGACTGATCTTTTATATCTGACTGTTAACTTAAAGCACCCTTTTCTTTTGAGCGGACAGCACCTGATTTCCTTTGTAATGATTTTCACTTTGCAGTTATAAAGCATGGGGTGCTCTTCTGGGAAAGAGGCTGTCGGAAAGAGGAATCATAGTGGCATGCATAGATTACAGGTATGCTTCTGAGGGATCATTGTATTGGAATACCATTTCCTGGTTGTTAGTTAGCATATAATGTTTTGTCGCTCACGCTTATGGCGGCATCATTCTGCAGAAACTTTCCTCAAGGGACCATCAGTGATATGGTAAAAGATGCTTCTGAAGGAATTTCATTTGTGTGCAATAATATTGCCAGCTTTGGAGGTGATCCTAACAGGTACTGATTTTTCTGCTTTATATCAACAATTAAATCTTGGATACAAGAATGAGCGGTTACTTCTGCAAGCAATTACTTCCTGGGTTCTATTTTGTTTCTTTTTGTTAGAAGTAAATCTACTGGTGTAATAAATGTAACATATTTCTCGTAGAATAAAATGGTGTTTTAGCTCCTAGTTTTTGCTGACTTAAGATCAACCAGGACTAAATTCATGTGGCTTTTCTAGCAGTGATCTTGTGCCGTTCACCAGAAACTTAGGACTTAGATTAGAGGTGAATTAGCCTTTGTCTGGGTGCTACGTTGCTCGTTGTACATTTCCGTAAATTGCAAAATTCTTCTTTCTAGAAAAAGGGATTTGGCCTCAAGATGAAACTCCAGCCTACTATATTATTAAACATGGTTGTTACGTTGGAGAATTATTCCCCAGCTCCAAAGATGTAATCCTTAAAGAAGTCGCCTATTGCATATACCCAATAACTCGCTCAGCAAGTACTTAAAATCATGAACCTTACAACCAACCATACTGACTACCCATAACAAGATTTTTTCCCCTTTATATGTACACCAAAAGCAGTAAACACTAATTTCAACATAACTCAAAAGAGCAACAACATCCTCCTACTTCAGCATAATAGGATCATCTTTCTGGCTGTCAACAATTTGTGGGTTTGGCCTGACATGGTGGATCATTTCATTTCAAAGATGGAAAGATCGTCCAATATGACTGGACATGATTTGTGTTTGTCATATCTAGTTATTATAGCTGAATTATCATTCATTGTCTACGGAGTCATAGCCAGTGATCTCCTCGAGTAATCTTACTATTATAATTTCTAACGTATGATATCCACAGTATCTTTTATGACCAATATCTCCACCTTTGAGATCATGTGAAGTTCAAACGGGTCAACGAACCGCTACCTACGACAACTCAAAGTTTCAATGCTACTTCGGCTAGGCAATATGATTTTATAGAAAGACACCATCCTATAGTGTACTTCAAATTAGTGAAAGGCTCATGCTATCAGAGTTAGGTTCATTCCTATGAACATTTGCTCATTTGGGTCGCTCATCCACATGTTTGGGTTTGGTTTAAATCTGGATCAAACTTTCGTGATAATACTTCAAAACGTTCTGACATTTTCCAACAAATGATGTAAGTTTATCTTCACAATTTCACTCTTGAATATTCCCTAAAGCATATGTTCTTTTCTAGGATCTATTTAGCTGGACAGTCAGCAGGCGCACATATAGCTGCTTGCACTCTCTTGAATCAGGCAATTAAAGAATGTGGAGAAAGGGAGAACACTACTTGGAGTGTCTCTCAGATAAAGGCGTATTTCGGCCTATCTGGTGGGTAAGTATGTATGCCTCAAAGCTTTAGTTATTGTTGCGAGTAGCATTTCCCCAACTTCAGAATCTTTGTTTCTTTTGAATGGTTGTACGAGTGGTAAATTGTTCAGTTTAACTAGCACGTTGTTTAGTTTGATTCCCTGTTGATTATGCACTATTTATGATCTTTAATTGTGCCATGGAACAAGAATTTGAAATTCAAAATGTTTTAACTTACTAGTATCTGTTCGATCATGCTATACTGTAGAGCCAGTAAGGAATTTGCATTCTTGTTGTAAATTTGGCTTCTGTACACTTTGTCACTGGCTAATAGGAAGCAATTATGGTATACTTGAGTGTGAAAAAAATTTAGTAGTTTTATAAGCCTAGAGAAATCGTAGTAAAACTTAGGTTTCACTGAAGAAATCTCCCCTTTGAGCACCAAAATGAATATCTCTCCAACACAATAAGCTGCAAGGAGCATAAAATTTGTGTTATGCTCCTTATAAGGGGAGCGGAGCAGCATTGAGGTCCATAAATGCAATAGAAGATCTACTAAAAACTTAAATGTTCATGAGTTATTGTACATTGTTTTTATTATGCAAGTAGTATACGTTGCTGTCTGAGTCATCTATCACTCTAAACCTCTAGGTCTGCAGTATTAAGCAAGAACAACTAAAACTTTCAGCTGGAACCTTGCTGTACAAATGCTTTTCCCATCATTTACCATTAAGGCCAGAAATTAGCAGTAATTCTACGGCCTTCTGTTGCTTAATATGCAATATGCCAAAAAACCATTGTATGGAACACAACAATCTGTGTGACTGCATCTCATTTTAAAAGTTTGTTTCTGGATATCGATGACTTGCTACATTGAGGATACTGATTTCAGTTTCTTTACAAATGAGATATCCAGGTTCAGTTGGTGCTGGTGTTTACTTACAACTACACCACATATTTTTTTAAAGAAAATTTCCACTTCACAGAATAGCATTGGTCTTCGTAAAAAGATGGGAGAAACCACAAGCTCATGTGTTACTGGTCCATCTGGATGAAGCTATTCACCTCAAAGATCTATAAACTTGTTCCTTAACAAACAAAACAGTGCAGGATTATACCTGTCCATGTGAACTTGTATTTGGATTAGATTGATTGTCATATTGTTCTTAAATATCTACATATTTATGTAGGCCTTAACAGAAGTAGCTGGCTTGCTGTTGCTATTATTTCCTTTTTTATATTACTGTTCATGTGGAAACTTATATAGCTACTCGATATGGTTAAGCTTTAGTTTGAGACCTCACAGGTATAATATGCTTAAATTGGTTGATCACTTCCATGGACGTGGACTATACCGTTCAATCTTCCTCAGGTATTTATTGGGCTGTTGTTATGATGAAAGACTACAGCATATATTAATTGGCATCTAGAATTCCTTTCCATTCTAATTATTAATCTATTTTCCTGTGCAGCATAATGGAAGGAGAGGAAGGATTAAAGAAATTTTCTCCTGAAATTGTTGTACAGGACTTGAGGGTTAGACATGCAGCTTCTCTACTGCCTCAGATTATTCTTTTCCATGGAACAAGTGATTATTCAATACCATCAGATGCCAGGTAAGTGTGAGTTTCATTCCCAATAGCAAGGAAAGGTTTGATAGCATGATGTTTATGATGGTGATAACTTGAGAAGTGTGATTGCTACAACTAGAAGCAGTCATTGCAAAGTAAAAAGGAGATTACTTTTGCAATAAGTATCTGAACTTTACATGTTACAATAGGTACAACATAATCATTTGCCCTCGTAGCATTACAAAATCCTTCTATTTTTCTTTTTCTTTTTTTTTACCTTTTTAAAATAACAACAACGATTGTAACAAACAGTTTTTTCATCGCAAAATCTTGAGTTGGCTAAATGACTTCTGCTTTCAGCTTTATGATGGACCATTGCAATAGTATGTTTGTTTGGATATACACCTACTCCCTAAACTTATCTCATCATCTTAACTTCATGATTGCAGATCATTTCACATCACTTCCTCTTATCTTACTCTCCGTACCAAAGATCAAATTATCAGTTTCATGGAATGTATTCTTGCTGAAATTCTGAAAATGAGAGAGATTGTTATCACATAAATCTCGTGATTCCTCTTAAATATTTATGTGAGACATGGTGATATGCCGTCTAAATTTGTTGAACAGCTTGTATTATGATTATGATGCACATGTGGTATGGGTACTTATATCATGAAGCTGTACACGTACTCAGACATGTCGCCTACCCGTACCCAAACCCTACACTTCTTGGACTCTGGACGCTCCTTGAATATAGGAATACACTTATTTAGACGTGTACTCAATTATATAATACATGTTTTAATTTAAAACACTCGTCATACGCTTCTTGGACGAAAATTGGATTCATTTCAGCCATATTCAGTCCAGAGCTACAATTCCAATGCGTCGTTTGCATATCTATTCTAAAACTATGATTTCAGCCCATGAGTTTCAGCCGTGTTCCCGTAGCTTACCTTTTACAAATTTGGTGTTTCTCATACCCTTGTAATCTCATCTGTGTACCCATATCCTTGCAATTTAGGATGCAGTATGCTAGCTTAACACCGCCCTGCATGGTCATATAGTTGGGATTTGATTTTCCATGATCCAAATGAAAGATTCGAAATTCCCAGCGGCAAGCAAGTATGCACAAAAGAGGGAATTGACGTAAGAAGGTTTTCCTTGTTACACACTAAGCTTAACGTCATGCCACTGATGGTTGAAGCTCTAGACCAGGAAAGACTATATAAGAAGGTCTCTATCAAATTTTGTTTATGACCAAATAAAGTCATAGGTCAGAGGAGAGACGGAGATCTGACATATCCTCTATGCAGTCCTCTAATATTACTAATTTAATGTAGAGTAATATTAATATTTATTTAAATATGATTTTCCTTCTGTTGTTGCAAATTCCCGGATACATGCTGATAACTAGATTTTGGCACCTTGGTTCTTCACTTTTAGGTAAACACGTAAAGCTGTGAAAAATTATGCCTTACCATCAATTTTGATGAATGTAGTGAAGTCGATGACGAAATTGGAGCTTTGTTACCGACAGGATTTTAATGTTATTAATCTTGAAATTTTGCATATTACCCTTCGAAAACAAATATTATGTTATTTACCCATCAAGAAGTATTAAATTACTTGTGTAACCTTCAAAAAGTATTATCTATGCCCTTATAATTAATATTCTTGTACATTTGCTTATTACATTTTGATTGGCTCTCCTCATTACTAACTAAAAGTGATATGTGACTGTCCAATTCTTCATAAATGTGGTATCTTACGAAATAGAAGGTACTGCTTATAATTTTCTTTAGCACATTTCATTATGACTTTTTTTAGATTTACTCTTAATCATATTTAAATTATACTCATCAAAGATCACATAATATTTAAATATCATCTAGAGCATATAACTTTCTATATTTGGCCCTTATAGTTGGTCCTGCTTCTTCTCTATGATTTTAGTGTCTCGTCAAAAATTTTACTTCTCTTCCATTGTTACTATTATATATGTTGAAATATTTTACAGGACTTACAAGTAATTTAGATTTTAGAGTTTAGATATATTTAAGTACCAGGAGATACATAAGAATTCTTATGACATTGCTATACATGTAAATTTAGTATGTTTTAAACAGTACATGCAAATTGTATTTTGTTCAGGGGGTAAATTAGAAAAATCTTATATTTCGAGGGTATATATGGAGAAGACTTTTTCTTTCCATGGAAACGCGGCTCCAGATCACATTGAATGTTGACCATGTAAACTGACTTGCTTCCTCTACTAGAGCTCAAGGTTCCTATCAAAAGGACCTGGCAATCATAGAGTAAATGGAAATGGCCTTACCAAAGATAACTGTTTGTTGTTGTTGTTGTTGTTTTTTCAATATGTGTTTCAAGAGGAATGTGAGGTGAGTTAGAGATATTATCATGTCACTAACTTTTGCAACTAACAAGTTTTAGGCACTCCAAGCAAACTATTGGGGGGAATTTTCTTTCCTAATTAGGGTAGAGCTGGGTAAGTATGACTGTTGATCTACGTCGTTAGAAAAATTATATGATTTTTGAGTTTCTGTAACGTTTCTTTTCTTCCCCTTTACTCTATTTTTATAACAATTATCTGTTCTGCGACCTTCTTGACGACATTATTGCTTTAAGATCATATTTGCCTCTTTGCGGTTACTGATGCAAATTCTGAATGCAGTAAAAATTTTGCAGATGCCCTTCAGAGTGTGGGTGCCCAAGTTACCTTAGTCCTATATGAAGGGAAAACTCACACGGATATATTTCTTCAGGTGGTAATAGCTTTTTTTATTGTAGAGATGAAGTTTAATTTAACTTTTGTTCTGAGATGGTATTACATTGGGCAGCAGATGCTACCTAAGAAACAATAGATTGGCTACAAGCATTGTTTTAAATATCCCCACATGGCTCAATATATCCCCCATTATATCCTTTTATAGGGCATGCCGCAACCGATATGGTCTCTATATATCCTTTGCCCTTTTTTGGCCATTTTGGACTATGTATCCCCGATATGGCCTATATATCAGCCGATATATTGACCGATATGTCCTTTTATATGGCTTGTCGCAAAATAATATACCGCGCTTGGCAATTTTTGAGCGAGATATTATGACTTTCCCATTATGTCAAATGACATTTTGGTATGTTGCAATGTTTGATTTGTACTTTTGTTTGTTCTACAAGGTTGATTAGTGATCCTAAATATATATTATTACATTTTTGTATGCTTACATTTCATTAAGTATGTTGAGATTATATTTTAGTGCATTATAGTATATATGCAAACATATGTTATGATATTCTGATGTTTACCGCGTATCCCTGATATTTCCCCGATATCCGCAATTCGATATGAACTTTGGCCATCTGATATTTCCTCGATATCTGATATTTAAGAATGTTATTTTCATATGGTTCACTCTGTTTGTCTGCCCTTTTCATTGCTCAAGAGGTGTAGTTTGATACTTTGAAAGCTTATTTGAGTAATCACTAACATAATCATGGTAACCTCTCATACAAGGCATGAAGACACAAATCTGACACCTCATAGAAAAGTCATAGAAAGCAAGCTGAGGATGGGTACATACAAAGTTGGAAGGAAACTCATAGAAACGTCTGGGTACCTCTAGTGCTTTTTAGTCCGGTGCAATCCTGGAGGATAGTTCCGCTCTACGCTCCTTAATTCTTACATTAGATTCGCTTGTTGTAATCTGCAATTAGGGTCATTGGCTTTATCTCGAGTATAGAGCTTTGGGTGTACTTGTATAATAAATTAATAATACAACAAGATTTGTGATGGCAACAGTATGAAAATGGTCTCAACCTCCAATCCTGCAGTACTGTAGAAACTATTTCTCAACCTAGTGCAAACCTACATGTAAGTTCCCTTTCACATTCTTGTTGCAAATAGTTGACTGATGTGTTTATATGAGTTTTTCTTTGATATTATGGACATTGATCTGTATTCCTTCCTTTCATAATTCAGCATTATCATCTTACTCGTTTCCCATCCAAGTCCTGTAATTATTGTGAAACTAATTCGAACAGCTAACTTTAAACGGCATATGGCTCTTTATCATGTAGAAATTTAATTCAGTGATCAATTTGTGATGTTTAGTAATCACATGTCATGAGTCTAACAACATATTATGGAAATTATATGCATGATGTGAATTGTTTTATTACTCTTTTGTTGTTTTGTCTTAAAGTACATGTCTTAGACTATAATGCCATAGCTCTAGAGCCTTTTTCGGAATACACGGGGATCTTATCCGATATATCCTTGTTTTATATTTTTTTTTCCCATAGCATTGTTCATATGAAAGTTGTACATTGCCTTTAACCAGAAAATTGGCCTTCTAATAGGACAGTAAAACGATGACAAAAACAAATGTCACCTCTTAATGCTGGAAGATCATTTCCAGAATCTTGGCATTTCCTACTTCCTTTATCTTTCTCAGACTTTTAATCTTATTTTTTTTATTGAAAGCAAGATAACATTATCAATATCCAAAGAAATCATCTGTACTCTTAAATATTTTTGGTTGTGAGTGTGATCTTCTTAATATTTTTCCTTTTTCTTGTTTATTTTCTTATTTTTGGTGACTGGCATGTATAGGACCCTCTGCGAGGTGGTAGAGATGAGTTAATGGAATATATAGTTGCATTTATCTATGCTGGTGATGCTATTTCAAGTGCGAAAGATGCTGTAGCCCCTCCAGCACGCCGACTTGTTCCTGAGTTCATGTTGCAGTTGGCTCGCAGGATAAGCCCCTTTTGATCATTGTAGGCCTATTGTCAAGGTGATGGTTCAGAACTTCCAACTGTAAATATATGTTATCAGTGTTTATGTATACTGTGCAACCTAAGCTCAAGTCTTGAGGAAAAACCTCTATGTCAGCTGTCTGGAGGGATTCTGTTGAGCAGAAACAAGGTCAAATTCATCAGAGGCACATAAGGTGCACCTGTTTCAATAGAAAATTTTGCTACATTCGCCACCCCCCCACCCCCACCACGCACGCGCACAGACAAAAGCGCACACAGAGACGTTCATGCATCTGGCTCCGATGACGTGCACCCCAACACACACACAGACACCCACACCCAAAACCTGATTATCCTTGTGGTTTTAACTTTTAATCACTTTATCAACAAACATGTAATTCTGAGAAGCTTGTATGTATGAGGTGTTTAGTAAGCGCACTTTATGTCAATAATGAGAGAAAACAAACAAATACGGTACTCTATTTCAGTTTTGACTTTGCTGCAACCAATCAGTCTGGCACTGCTGATGTCTTAGATGAGAATGTACTTGGTGTACCTTAGAAATGCCCTAAAAGTATTGCTAGACTTTGAAGCTTCCGTCAAACCTTTTCTTATAGTCATTTTGTGTGTGGTGGGCATGGGGTGGGGCTGGTCGGGGTGGGTGGGCTGGCGGGTGGCGGGTGGGTGAGTGTGGGTGTAAGTTTGTGTGTGTGTGTGTTTAATCGTTTCTTTTTTTCCCTTCTGTGTAGACCCTTATCCTTCCTCATTACATGTCAAGTCCAAGGGAACCTAGAAGAGTTTGTATTTGGTTTTCTTAATGTCAATATCTAGGGTTGGTAATCAATTGAATCGAATAAAATACTAAGGTGTTCGTATTTGTATATTTTTAAAACTATTGAATTTGAATGCGGACTCTAATATTCATATATGAAGTTTTCCAAATTCGAACTCGAATACTTGGTAATTTATAAATATTCTTGAATATTCACGAATACTTATCGAATATCAGAGTATATTTATTCTGCTAAAGAATTTGATTTTCAAATTGTATTTAAATTCATAAATAAAAATTATTCCTTTATAATATATGATGTACATATATATATTTAAATCAAAATTTTCATTAGGAAACAAATTTAAGATTAATTAATTCTTAAAATTAGTAAATGGTAAGTGGGTAAAAAATATGACATCATATGTGTAATAATACAAATAATAAGTGATCAAATTTTAAACGAATATTTGATAGACAAAGGAATCGGATATACAGTTAAATTTTATTCATTAGTAAACTCGAATACTAAAAAATATTTGTTTAGTGGTAAATGAACTACCGAATCGAATATGACGAATGGTTACTCGAACAATTATCGAACAATTTGTTAATTATTTGGTTCATTTCCACCCTACCCATAAGATGGTTCTTTGCTTCTTGACAATCTTTCTATCACTGTGTCTTGTTAAGCATGCATCAACTTTGGGAGTTCGCTGAGCGATGACTGAGGTGGGCAAGTGTTAACCAGCGATAGAGTGCATAAATAGTGATTCCACATTATTTATTCTGATTTTGTAGGATAAAGACAACCACAACATTCTTGAAAGTGGTCATGTCACATCTGTAAGCGTCAATGTTAATACTAGATTATTATTGTAAACTCATAAAAAATGGGAAATATTTGTTCAATAGGCTATATACAAAAGTACCTGTTGGTTTCTTACCAAGTGAATCCTGTATAATGCTTGGCTTGCTATATAGCCTACTAATCACATATATTACATGAATAATGTAAACTTCATGTTGCAGGTGGAAATTTGCAAGCACGACGACATATTCATTTTGGCACTCATCTTCCTGAATGGTGGAAAAAATTAAGAAAGTAACGGCATATCTTTTCATAAATTCCACGAGAACCATCCAGTAGCTTAATTTATCGACGTCGTACATGATTCTGTAACTTTCCATATAGAGATGGTGCTGACTGCTGAATGCTAAAGGAGTCCAGAATCCAGTTTAAATTTCCAACTGAAAGGTTTCCAACTAGTGATATAATGTCCAGAACTGTGGTTCTATCTCCTTTCCACTTTGTTGTAATCCATTTATTCTTCAAAATTTTCAGCCTTATCATAAGCAGGTAAACTTTGTAAAAATAACACATTTCTCTGTGCTTTGTTACTTTTTTGTTGAGGTGATGCACGAAGTGAGCTGTCACCTAATTTTGAAAAGAAAATGCAGTTCCTTGTTATTAATTTACGCATTGTATTTATAATCCTTGTGAAATGATGTATCAAAAGATATGTTTGCAATTACTGTAAGATCATAATTTTCAAAAGGCTGTGTTATTATTCCACTGGGCTCATCATCATAACATTTTAGAAAAAGTTTTGAGCTTTTAGCACACAAGCCTCATGACAATAATAAGCTGAAACATCAACATCAACAAAAGGTACAAAGGATGACGATTCAAAGTCTATATGCGTAATATCTTCTGCTTCTTGTTACTTGATCTCTTCAATTTTTTGCAGCAGCTGCCTTGCCTCCTTTAGCCTGCATGAAAACACAGAAGATTATTCTTTGTGTTGCTTGACCTAACATCTTCTGTTGCTTCGCATGATATTATTTCCAAAATTTTCTTGTAGGATAAATTTTACAGAAACCATTACGGGTTTGCGAAAACTATCATTAAAGTATTATTAGCGGAAAAAAACTATCGCAAATGTTGATATATAAAATTAAAAAAAGAAAAGAAAAACCCTACTCTAAAAAGTGATATTATTTCTTCCATTTGGCCTCAATTTAACTAAGAAAAAGACCAAATTGCTCTCTTAAGTTGAGACCAAAACATAAGTTTTTTTCAAATCCAGGGTGATGTAGGTTTAATACAATAGTTTATGCGGTGATAAGTGGTTACACAATCATTAGTACAAGTAATATTCCTGTAACTAACCTTATATAAAATAGCCGGATTAACATGTCAAAATTTTAAAATGAAATCACGTTCTCATCGCGAGATTAACTTTCTCTAACAGTAAAAAAAACAAACGTATGATAGTTTCTTGTAATAATAAATAGATTATAAAGTTTTCGCAAATTTATCTTCTACTTACTTTGGGAGCTGCCTTCCTCTTCGGCTGAGGCTTCTGCTCGGTCTTCTTCGCTGCCGGCTTCGATGCCGGAGCCTTGGATGTTCCGGCGGCGGCCGTCATGCTTTCAGAATCGATTCGAGATTGTCCCGCGCCGATGTCCCTCTGTTGGTCATGTTGGTGGTGACCCTCGGAAATTCTCCCTCTTCAACAGCCGTTCTTTTTCGTCGGAAACGCCTAGGCCTTGTTTTCGGCGCTTCAGTACTGAGCCTTTCGAAAACCGGATATATAAAATTAAAAAAAGAAAAGAAAAACCCTACTCTAAAAAGTGATATTATTTCTTCCATTTGGCCTCAATTTAACTAAGAAAAAGACCAAATTGCTCTCTTAAGTTGAGACCAAAACATAAGTTTTTTTCAAATCCAGGGTGATGTAGGTTTAATACAATAGTTTATGCGGTGATAAGTGGTTACACAATCATTAGTACAAGTAATATTCCTGTAACTAACCTTATATAAAATAGCCGGATTAACATGTCAAAATTTTAAAATGAAATCACGTTCTCATCGCGAGATTAACTTTCTCTAACAGTAAAAAAAACAAACGTATGATAGTTTCTTGTAATAATAAATAGATTATAAAGTTTTCGCAAATTTATCTTCTACTTACTTTGGGAGCTGCCTTCCTCTTCGGCTGAGGCTTCTGCTCGGTCTTCTTCGCTGCCGGCTTCGATGCCGGAGCCTTGGATGTTCCGGCGGCGGCCGTCACCTTGGCCGTCTCCTTTTCAATAGGTCTCTCAGCCTTCAAGGATGCCATGCTTCTAAGTTTTTAAGCTTTGCACTCCACGAAAAAATATTCAAGAAGCTTGAATTAATGCTATACAATTCTATTGTAAGCCTTCGCTACTTATATATAGCATAAAGAGAACAAAGTGGTATAATTATTGTGGCAAGTTGAGATTGGAATAGATGAACAGCACATCATTATTTTAAAATGAGTTGGGATGAGAATTAGATGCATATATGCATTATTTGCATGTGGATGTCAAGTTCTTGGGATGAGCATATGCTACTTCGTCAAATGGGGGGCTAGGTGGATATGTAGATAAGAATTTTGATGGAAGCATCATCTTAATTTGAAGGTATGGAAACTGTAAAAAAATTTATGAAAATACTTAGCGATAAATATCAGAACCAACAAACCCCACCCCTAACCCATTTTAAAATAATATTAGTAAACCGCCTTAAGTATAGATATTATCACAAAATCCATTTTAACTTTTAGGTTTTATCAGAAAATTTCCTTTAACTTTAAAGTTAAAGGTTTTTTTTTAAATAACGCCTAAGGGGAGTTTTCTGATATCTTTAAAGTTCAAGGAGGTTTTCTGATTATCGTCCAAAGTTAAGGGTTTTTTTTATGATATTTAGCCAAGGTCTAAATGTCAATGGATTGGCATCTTCTAGTAATTATCACAAAATTAAATTCCACTGATTAAAAAATTAAATCGAGGAAAATGAGAAATAATGTTAATAAGTTCTTGGAGAACAAGATACTGTTGAATAATTTGTGACAAGTGTGGACACATGCTTGCGTATTGTAAAAGGTATAAATTTGGAATGTTCTAGGTATTTTACAAAAGGTATCAGCTAAGGTAGTAGTACAAAACAAAGAGCTAGATAGGGTACTATTAATAATATCGAAGATGTGGATATTATTCATCCAGAGTTAAAAATCTTATTTTCTAAATTGAAAATCACACTATTTTATGTGATTTATCACACATTAACTATGTTGAAATAGTATCTCCGATACTTTCAATATATTTTAACTTCGTATCTTTTGCAAATAAAAGTTTCAAAAATTGTGTAAAATTAATTATTTTTGTCACTTGTTACATGATTAAAAAGTCAAAAAATATTGTAAACTATATTGATAGCCGATATGCATTACATCACATCTGAACGTAATAGTCCCAAAGTTAGTCCCACGTTGGTTGTGGATAAAGAGGTTGATGTGTTTATAAGGTAAAAAGTATGATTCAAGTGTAATATTAGCTGACTAGTTTTTAGCAGTGACTTGAGCTAAATAACGTACTACGCTCATCATATCCATAAGCTCGCGAAATTAGTCCCACATTGATTGTAGATAAAGAGGTTTATAGATTTATAAGATAAAAAGTGAACTTAAAGTGTGTAGCATTAGCTCGCCAATTTTGTTGGTCAGTTTTGATTTGAGTGGAAAAAAAAAGACAGCGCATCACCCTCCCTTGAGCTATTATAACCTGCGTTCGGGTTCGAATCAGGTCGGTATTCGACCCGATACCCATTAACCCAAAATTTTAACCCTTTCAATACCCTGCTCTCATCTTCGCTCCGACATCGCCGACGAATTTTCCATATTTTTGACAACTTCGGCGATCTCTGAGCAACTTAGTGAGGCCTCGGCAAAAAAGAAAATTTCGTAAGTAGGGTTTTTGAATTTGGGGTTTTCAATTATATATTTAGCCATTGGATGCAATTTAGAGAATTGTACGTTTTAGTGGGGCTAAACTGCAAATGTTGGGTTCTTTTCCGGGTAACACTCGACCATCAACATTGTAAGTTTTATTTGATTCATAGAATTAGGAAGCCAGGGTTTAACGGGTTTTGGGTTTACAAATCACACCTTTTTGTTTGATAATTAGAGATATCAACCGACGCCACCCACAAAGGTGAAAAGTTCTAGTTTTGATGCATATTTTATGATCTCATCGTGGGAAGTATCTTGTAATTAGTGACTCTTCAATGTAAATTGTAAGGCGTTGAATTTAAATATAAAAATTCATTATTTGGCTTTGGCCCAGGTATTACAATGGAAGCTTTGAGCTCAACTTCTGTAACCAGACTTTCTCCCAACCCAAATACAAGCAATGCAATCCAAATTCCTCGAGTTTCCTCATTTAGTATTTCAAACCCAAAACAAAATCTCGGCAAACCCCATTTGGTTGCAAAGCTAGTAATGCAGGAGATGGGGAATGAGACGCGGAGGTTTGAGTGCCGGAGCAGTTTCCAAGAAGCTGAGTTTTCTGCGGAGAGTAAAATGGCTCAACATTTCGAAAATGCAGTCAGGAGGAAAAGGCTTGCAGTTTTTGTTTCCGGTGGAGGTTCGAACTTCCGATCGATTCATGAGGCTACATTAGGTGGTTCAATCCCTGGCGACGTCGTGGTGTTAGTCACAGATAAACCTGGTGTGTTTCTTTCTATATATTTCAGCAATTGGGGGTGAAGAATAAATTCTCATGCTCTATGAGTTTATGACTATTTTATATTATTCTCCATACTTCTTATATTAGATAGCATGTCTTTACTTCTTTGATTTGCATTAGCCCATACACTGTATTCTGTTCGGTCTACATTCTTTGGGAAGTGAATCAAACTTGTGATATTAGAAAAAGACATTAACCAGAAGTACTTAATCTTAATAACTTTTTTTATTTTTTACTAGTATAATACACGTGCTTTGCAAGTGAACGTACATGTTTTAAATTTTGAATTTTTTATTAAATAGTAAAACTATGTGTTAACAAATAAAATTGTATAATAAGATTGCTTAAAAAGAAATGTATGAACTAATTGTTATTGTATAGTTATTGTAATTGAATATTTTTTATAATGATCGCCCAATATTAAATTTGTTTATAAATAAGTCCTCAAATCTAAAATTGTTCTTAAATAAAACTGTCAATTCTATAATTTCTCTTAAATATGGCCCTCCAACTTAAAAGTTGTTAAATCTAAATTAACTAAGCTGCATTAATATTGCTAGCTTTTTCATGATGTCCCCGAGATAGTTACATTTGATACATGCAACATATTGCAATAGTTACTTCTCATTATAATTATTTAATAGGGTAAGTTACACTAAATCCTTTTGAACTTTCAACCATATAAACTTTCAATGTTACACTAATCCCCTAATGACTTTTTTGTTTCAAAGAAGACTCCTAATAACTTTCTGAATTTTATAGATAACCATGTAAATTAAAACTAGAAAATGGCATAAAAAGGCATTATGAAAGTTATCGGGGGTTTGGTGTAATTTACCTAAAAGATATTGAGGGCTCTCTACAAAAGTTTAGGAGTTTAATGTGATTTCGAAAATGCATAGGATCTATTTACTATAAAATGCTGAAAGTTCATGAAGGTTTACTACAATTTACCTTTTTTAATATTATAATTCTTAGCTCAAGTAATACTATTAAAATAATTATACTGTCTGTATGCTATAAAATATTTATTTAACTTAATTTTTTAACTATGCTATTAAATAATTTAGTACTATAAATATTTTATAAATTTTTATTATACTATTATTGACAATTAATAGTATTATTATTAATATTAAACATTTTTTTCTAAAAAGTTTAGCTTTCAATCATTACAAACTATAGATTATTCAGTATCATGCAATAATATTTAAAATATACTCTAAAAATAATACTAAATTATTTATTTAATTTATTTAATAATATAACACTAAATAAATAGTCTAATTTGTAATTAATGTGATATTATTAAAATTATTATATTATTTATGCGATTGAAAATTTATTTTATTTATTTTGCTACTCATCGAATTATAGTATAATTTTTAATAGTATTTAGTAATATATCATTCTGTGTATACTATTATTTTAATTATTTTATTATAGTTCATATATAATTATTATAATATTTTAATTGGTTACTACTAATAATTGTGTATACTTATATTATAAATTATTTTATTTTATTAGTTTTAAACAATTAATAGATATAATATTATTGATAATTACAATTGTTTAGGAAGGTGAGGAGATGCATAAATAATAAGAGGTTATACTTATTTAATAAAAGATTAATTAGAGATAATGGCATAGTTAGAATTTATTAAAATTTTAGAGGTAAAAAAGGAAATTAAAAGTTTTTAACACCTCAATCCTTTTTTTATAGTAGTATAGATGAATGTGCTTATGAGGGGATATTTGAATGTAGTTCCTATCTAAGACTGAAGAATGAAGATAGTTCACTTAAGTCTTAAATTTTGCATAACAGATATCTTGAAGTAAAACCCATCCTGTTTTCCATGCCATGAACATGTTTTGTATGTTTTAGCAGTTATGTTTGTTGACGTATAGGAAAATGACTTTAGCACAAATATGAGAAAGGTGGACACATAATATAACACTAAATAAATAGTCTAATTTGTAATTAATGTGATATTATTAAAATTATTATATTATTTATGCGATTGAAAATTTATTTTATTTATTTTGCTACTCATCGAATTATAGTATAATTTTTAATAGTATTTAGTAATATATCATTCTGTGTATACTATTATTTTAATTATTTTATTATAGTTCATATATAATTATTATAATATTTTAATTGGTTACTACTAATAATTGTGTATACTTATATTATAAATTATTTTATTTTATTAGTTTTAAACAATTAATAGATATAATATTATTGATAATTACAATTGTTTAGGAAGGTGAGGAGATGCATAAATAATAAGAGGTTATACTTATTTAATAAAAGATTAATTAGAGATAATGGCATAGTTAGAATTTATTAAAATTTTAGAGGTAAAAAAGGAAATTAAAAGTTTTTAACACCTCAATCCTTTTTTTATAGTAGTATAGATGAATGTGCTTATGAGGGGATATTTGAATGTAGTTCCTATCTAAGACTGAAGAATGAAGATAGTTCACTTAAGTCTTAAATTTTGCATAACAGATATCTTGAAGTAAAACCCATCCTGTTTTCCATGCCATGAACATGTTTTGTATGTTTTAGCAGTTATGTTTGTTGACGTATAGGAAAATGACTTTAGCACAAATATGAGAAAGGTGGACACTAAGTGGACTTTTCTTATCTGTAAAGTTTAATCACTGAGAAAAGTAATCTTTGTTTTGCAATATGCTGCATATCCATACATATACTATTGAATTGCATACTAATTAGGCGTTTTGGATAATGATTCTTAATGTGCAAACACGGCTTGATACATTAAACTTGAGGCATGATGTATTTATCCACTATAAAAATTTTAAATTATTTCTCATAAGCCATGTCCTCTATTTAGCTTGTGCAGAACTTCACTTCTAAATTACATTGGTTTTATGTTACATAAGGAACATGTGCTACACCAGCTACCAAGATAGCTACTAAGTACTTTTTTTTAGGTCACATTTAACTGACAATTATTATAATCACATCTTAGCAGAATTCTATTAACAGTTAGAGAAGTTGATAGAGTTGAATAGTACGGTGTAAGGGCCAAAGAAATGCACATGGGGAAATGCGTCAGAGAAGGCTAGAAGAAGCCTGAAGACTCTTCTCTTCTTCTTTGTGCATGCCATCAATTTCTATGAAAGCTAACTATTCTTTGCGTATTGTGCTGGCGTATCAAGCATAATGAATGCATTTTCTTTCATGAGCATTTAATGAGAAGCATATTTGATTTGACTGTCAGGCTGCGGGGGAGCTGAATATGCAAGTAATCATGGTATCCCAGTTATTTTCTTTCCTAAGACCGAATCCTCACCTGAGGGATTATCAGCTGTTGACCTTGTCACTAGTTTAAGGTGAACAATTTATGTTAGTAAGATGATGTTAAACCACGTTCTTTTGCTCTTTTATCCTTCATTTGCATCCTTCAAACTTTAAGATATGACTTGTATTTAATCCTGAAACAATCTTATGTCTACACAAGTACACATTATTATCATTAAAAATAGAGATGTATGGCTGAGCAGATTTTCTTCTCCATACATGAGGACAGATGTCTGCACTTTTTTTAGAAAGGCTAACTTAGATAAACGTACCATGCCTACTAGAGGGTAAATAAAATGGATGCATTTACTCGTCTTAACCAGATTTCTAATTTGTTTCCTTTCTCTTTTTACTGGATCCAATGTAAATGATTCTTTCACTGTGGACAGGAATTTTAATGTGGATTTCATTCTCCTTGCCGGTTACCTGAAACTTATTCCAGGTGAATTGGTTCAGGCTTATCCAAAATCTATTTTAAACATTCATCCTTCTCTTCTTCCAGCTTTCGGAGGAAAAGGATTTTATGGTCTAAAGGTGCATAGATCTGTCATTGCTTCAGGGGCAAGGTGAGGCAAAAATCTTAAATAAATGATGAATTTCTTACAGATAAGTCTCTTATGGTTCAGATTTGCATCTGAATTCCCTCATTACTGAATGCTTGCTACTTAATAATGTACCAAACCTGCCTTGTAACTATAAATATTCCACTCCCTGAGATATAATCTAATTTTAGTTATTTTTTACTGATTCTATTATGCTTTATGTTCTTATGGTGTTAATGAAAGCCTATTGATGGTCTAATGTACCAGCCCCTAGAAGCAAATCATTTACTATTGGCCCTTACCTTGGGTCATGAAAACCTCAGGAAAGGTTATGACTAGCAATGGGCATGCAATTTGGTGATTTGTGTAAAAGCTATATGAAGGTGCACCAAAAAGATGGTAATTTAAATGATGTGAATGGACGAATGCTACTGGTGTAAATGGTATAATTATCTCAGTCCAAAATTGACACTTTGTTGTACTTAGACAAATAATGATATTGGTATCAGGTTTCTTTCAATATGATTGAATATGGATAGGGTCTGTCCAAAATGCTTGAATAAATATCTAAAATCCCAATACATCCGTGTATACTATATGAAATATCATGTACAACTGCATAGGTCAGGGCTATTTAGTAATATATTAAAAGAGTTCAAACTCTATTAAGCCCCTATGGTTTCATCTGCGAATTTATTAAGCCCCCGTGGTTTTTTTCGACTCTATTAAGCCCCCGTGGTTTCATTTGTGAATCTATTAAGCCCCCGTGGTTTTTTTCGACTCTATTAAGCCCACGTGGTTTCATCTGCGAATCTATAAGTCCCATTTGAAATTCAAAGCACGGGGCTTAATAGATTCACAGATGAAACCACAGGGGCTTAATAGAGTAAAAAAAAAAGGGCTTAATAGATTCGCAGATGAAACCACATGGGCTTAATAGAGCCGAAAAAACCACGGGGGCTTAATAGATTCGTAGATGAAACCACGGGGGCTTAATAGAGCCGAAACAAACCAGAGGGGCTTAATAGATTCGCAGATGAAACCATAGGGGCTTAATAGAGTTTGAACTCTATATTAAAATTTCGGCATAATAAATAATACTGGCTAGTGTCTCGATCATCCAAGTTTGAATTTGTTTTTACCAAACACGCATAGCCAGACAATATTCCCATCCTTGTTCGTATGCACAAGCATACAAAATATAACCATGGCGATTCAAATACCCAACTTTGAATAGATATCTGATCATTTCCATTCTCCACTTTGTTATATAATGAGGCTTTGTGGAGCTCTTGTTAAGTTCAGCATAGTTAGAACTTAGAACTACCCATCTAAATATTCTTCTCTTTTTTATACGTTTATACTCAAATGAACACAAATTGCTACCTTACTTTTCTACATCCTCATTCTTTGATGTCTAAATTTCACAATCATGCTAATTATTTTTATAAGCAAATGTTAATAGATGAACTTGAATTTTTTTATTTTCGTGGTAGAAGGAGCAAAATAATAATTAAAAAAAATCTTTCAGTTCACCTTTTTGTAATAATAGTTCCCTGTCATCTTGATGAATGTATCTACTTTCTTTTCCCATTTGTATCTTGTATAACTAATTTGTAGCCGAGCAAACAAAATTTGGCATTGAGTCTTGGTTCCTGTTCTTGTTGTTGTTCCTGTTTAATCCTTATTCTGAGTTTAATTTCTGGAAGTCTTGTTTGTTTGCATGTTTGTTTGTCTTGTATAACAATAAAACGTGGAAATGTAATAATTTTAATAGTGACTCTTTTCTTCTGACTTTTGTTCCGAAAACATTGGATTCGTTCAACTTTGTTTTTTATTTTAAATCTTTGCAGGTACTCAGGTCCTACAGTCCACTTTGTGGATGAAAATTTTGATACTGGTAGCATCCTTGCCCAGAGGGTGGTGCCTGTGTTGGCAAATGACACTGCAGAGCAGTTGGCTACTAGAGTCCTACATGAGGTAATATAGTCTGGATATTTTACGCAGAAAAATACGGATTAAGGTTCATCCTATCTTATTATGAATCAGACATATCTTGAAATTAATAAATTCAAAATGCCTGTTTCCTGCACTTTATTTTCTGCGGAAGTCATTTATCTAGAAATGAAGCTGCATGTCTCAGTAGAAATCTGCAACATACTTTGTAGCCAAATAAATCACCGTAATCTGCAGGCCATTTTCAGTGCTTACAGTGGCATTTATTTGCGCGCCAAGTTCACTCTCGTAGCAGTTCAACTATATGACATATGTTGGATAGAAGGATATTATAATACTTATGGATTTGGATACACCCATCAACATATTGTAAATTTTGTATTTTCCCTTAATATACACCACATAGTTTATGAGACTACGAAATGATATGGAGCTAATGATCACTTTGGTTTATGCATGCATTTTTTTTTCTTGCATCATAAATAAATGAATAGGGATTATTGCATCCTATGCATCATAGATTCATAAATTTCATTTTTTTAACTTTCATAGTTTCATCAATGATGAACTTGTTGGATACTCTGCAATCTTGAAGCTATTTCCTACAATAATAATGTGCAGTATTCTCTGTACAATAAGGATGCACCAATAAGTGAGTGCATTTAAATATCCGAGTATTAAATTATACTTGTTTTATGATGTTATCTAAAATATGAATATTAAACAACAACAGAGATAATAGACAAATACAAGTTAAGGACCAATAATAATAACTACGCAGTGTGAAGTACAGTATACATTCATAATAAATCAAGGTTGCAAATTTACATGCCAGTATCCATCAAATTCATCGATTAAGTTACAACCTATGTTTGCTTTATCCTGAACGTGAAAAATCTGATAAAAATATTGCATAAATAGCTCATAAAGCACCCAAAAAAGAAAAAAAAAGGTTAAAAAAAGAATCTTCATTGATCTTATAACAAAGAAGGCCAATTGCAATATGATCAAGTGATTCAAATCAAACTGAAATCAAAATCCATTATTTCAGATTTTTGATGTCTTTCTTATTCTCATAAATGTCTTTGCTTAGTATATGATACATCTTAAGAAGTATATTGTATACTTTTTTAGATGTGCTATGATTCTTTCTTAAGACACTTCAAGACATTGGGCACTTATAATACATAGCCCCTGTTATATTGTATGTTTCTCTAGATAGCCACATTTGATAAATTATGCAGTATTATGTAAGCTTGACATATAAGTTCTTCGTTTCTTGATAAAGAGTACTTTAAATTAAAGACTCGAATATTTGGTCTGCTAGGAAATGAATTAGCTTTGACGTTGCCACAATGGAAGAAACGAAACATGCCGAATCAAAACATCGAATCAATATTTTTCATTAGGATCATCAAAGTTTTGACAGAATAAATTTTTATCATAACAAGGCAAGTTGCAAGTAACCACCTTTTTAATTCTTCTTTTTTATGCTTCCTCCCTCTTGTCCATCTTTGCTCAAAAACATAGTTCTAGAAAGGTTACATTTCATGAAACCCTCCGAAACTTTGCAAATCAGAGGAACCCCCCTTGAACTTTCAAAACTATACTAAACCTTCCGAGCTTTTAGAGACATTAAGGGTAGAGTAAGAAGTATAAGTTATGACAGACCAAAACTTGTGATAGAAAAAACTGAACAAAAAACATTCATGTGGGAGAACAAGATACAATAATCAGGTCACGTTTTTAGACTTTTTACTCTATAAGTCTATATGTATGTTGCTTATCGGATTTTTCCAATAGCTTTTGGGGAAGAAATTTTTTCTTTTTCTTTTTCTTTTTTTAATTTTTTATTTTAAGTTGTGGGGTGGGTGGGGGTTTAGTATTATTTGGAAAACTCAAGATGGTTTCCTGTAATATAATCTATAAAGTTCATAGGGGTTTTGTGAAATTTACACTTATAGAAAGCAATTGTACTTTGCCTTCTTATAATTTCGAGAATAAATTTCCAAATGTGATGCTGGTTGTAATAATAAAACTCTAAAGAGAATTGGTGCTACGCTGATTACCAAACAATTCTAGTCTTGCAGCAGTATTATTTGGGATTACTCCTTTTTTGTTTTAAAGCAAATCCTCTTGATTCTGGCAAATATATTCATAACCTTCATATTGCAGGAGCACAAAGTCTATGTGGAGGTAATTTCAGCTTTATGTGAAGAGCGAATAGTTTGGAGAGAAGATGGTGTTCCTCTTATAAGAAGTAGAGAGAATCCAGATGAATATAGTTAGTTATATCAATTGGCTTGAAATCCATCTTTCTCTGGTTATTTAATCACATTTCATACTATTTTCTGGTTTGTTTCTAGACTTGGCCCCTGTGTGTCAATCAAATTTTTGATTGATAATTGTACTAATTCTGATATATAATTTAGAACAATTTGGTGTAAATTGAATTGTCGTTGTTCTGATGAGGAGAATTGTAACGTATTGTTATTTGTTTTTTAATCAACGCTAAAATTTTCAGAAGTTCATTCTGAAGGTTAGATGTTTTTGTCTAATATTTGAGTGCAGGTGATGATGATTTACTTATCAATTGTTGAGATCAGGTTGCCAGTATATTTAACTCATTGTGCCGGCAAAATCTATGTGTTATTTTGTATTTTGGTTAATTTTACTTAGCGTGAATGGACTTGTTAACATATTGGCCAACTCTAGTTGTTTTATTGTCCGTGTACAGAATTTGTTTCACAACACACATAAATAAATAAAATAACTGAAATAATATCATATACAAACCAAAAAAATGAAGTAAAAACAATAACAAATGCAACAACAATAATCATTGTACAGCCGTGGAAGCTTGACTAATCAGGGGCGCAGAGGATATTATATGGATTCGATAAAACATTTATCCATTTTTCAATTACGGATACATATGCATATATACTTTGACAAGGAAATTTCACATCTACATCAGTCAAAAATCGATTGTGAATACATATTATAAAATAGCAAAATTGTTCCGTATATCTACTCCTCTATACATATAGGAGGATCCTAAGATCCACTATTCATACTACAGCAAATACTACAGTGAATTTCCATAACATTATTGCTGTAGCGTAAACAGAATACCGTAGCATTTAAAAAATATTGTGCCGTTTACAAAAAAATTGTGGCGTTCAAAAAAGAATTACTATAGCGAAAAAAGGGGGTTCGTGCTTCGCACGGGGTTTACACGGGGTGCACACTAGTTGTATTGGAAACGAAAGAGACCAAAAAATTCTAAAGTACATAATATGATACAGACTTCTCTTAAAAATGAATTTCTAAAATAGTAACTCATTACTACATTCAACATGCCTGCAAATTTAAACTGGTAAAACCTAAGAATTAACTTCGAAATATGCCTATTTAAGGTTAAAATATTTTAATAGTCTGGTTGATAAAAAAAATCGAAATATGCCTATTTAAGGTTAAAATATTTTAATAGTCTGGTTGATAAAAAAATCGCAATATTCACGTTCGTGAAAAAATTTATTTTACATATACTCATATCCACATAATTATCCTATAAAGATATAAAAAAATATATCTTTATCTGCATTTGGGCACAGATTAGCCTAAAAAGTGACACCCTTTTATTTAGCCTAGAAAAGTGATGTCGGCGATAATTTAGCTTAAAAATAACAAATACGATGTCAAATTGGTATTTCCGGTACTAGAGACTATTTTTAAGAGAAAAAATTACTGAATTTTGCATATAGATCCTCACTCTCACATATTTTCAGATTTATCCCCTCAAGTTCTAAAATACGTAAAAATAAAAACTCATCCCTCCTAATGTTTCAAGTAAAATGCTTTGATGTTGGGTCTGAGAAAAAAAGAGGGGGAGATTGAGTTTTTGATATTTGAAGGGTGAAGAGGGAGTGAGTAGAGCAAGGAAGGAGAGAGAGAGAGGGAGTGGCAGAGATGAAAAGGAGAAGAAGGTTGGATGTTTGATAGAATACTTAATATTGGGTCTAAGAGAGGAAGAGGAGGAGATTGGATTTTTTTTTAATGATCAAATGGTGAGGGAGTGGACGGAGCAAGGAGGGAGATGGAGTAGGAGAGAGGATGAGAGGTTGTGGATTGGTAGAGGAAGAGAATGAAGGAGATTATGGAAAGGAGAATGCAGGAATGAATATGGGAAAGGATGGAGAAGGAGTGGGGGAGAGGAAGGAAAGTTGGGGATTGGAGAAGAGAATGGATGAGACAGTGGGAAGGACGAAGGAAGAGACAGTGGAAGGGAGAGTTTTTTTTAATAAAATTTAAATTATTTTGGGTGGTTAATCCGAAAAATATGGGAGAGCGAGAGGTGTATATGCAAATATCACTTAATTTTTCGCTTAAAATTATCTCCAGCACCAAAAATATCTATCTATCATTGTATTTATCGCATTTTAGGCTAAATTGTTACCAATGTTACTTTTTATGCTAAACTGATAAAGGTGTGTCTGTTGGATTTAAATCTAATTAAATCTATTTGTGGGCACATATGTTATATCAGTATGTGTTGCTATCTTTCAGTTGACACACATAAAGTGATCAATCGGATAATTGAGTCAATAGATATTTAAATATGTCATGGGCTAAATGTGCGGATACCATATTATAATTATAATTTGATGAGGGGTCAAATTATAAAAGTACAACAACTATAAATAAGGGGTTATGGTCCCTAATCTATGGTTACATTCTCTATTCTCTTAATCCTCATCTAAAGAAATTCTAAAGGAGAGACCCTCAATATTAGAAGATCAAACCCTAATTTAGATTCGTGCAAATTCTTCATGGATTCAGGTATTACTTCCGCTCTCTGTTGTGTTTATTCTCTTTGAATTAATCATGGTTTTATGGATTAGATCTCAGTTTTAGATCTAACAAGTGGTATCAGAGCCACTCATGATTAATTCTTAGGGGTTTAAGTTTTAAAATTGGGCTTTTGATCTTAAATCTCTGGTTTTTCTCAGAACTGTTCATGGATGAACAGTAAAATTCTGTGAACAGTAAAGTTTTAAATTTTGTTGGATTTTTTCTTCGATTTTTTTTGGGATCTGGATCAAGAAGTCATTTTTTCGATTATGGATCTGTTTTTGAAATAAAATCGAGGAATTTTTTAGATCTATTTTTGTTTGGTTGTCAGTCCTCGTGCTCCTCGCCAGCGAAGTGTCGCTAGCGGCCTCGCTCTCGACTCCGACGACGATGGCAGCGTTAGGAAACCCTAGAGTTTTGACCTTTGGGTGCGGGAGCAATGGCGGCGGCGGTTTTAGAATAAAACCTCAAGGGGTTCGTGCGTGAAAACGCATCGGAAAATTAGGGCAAAAGGAGGGAGTTACCTTAATTCTCAGGTGAGCCTCGTGCTCAATCCAAACGAACCCCGCCTTCGTTCTCAAGTCGAACCCTGCGTTCATTCTCAGGCGAGCCTCATGCTCGATCCAAACAAACCCTGCGTTCGTTCTCAAGTCGAATCTCGCGTTCGTTCTCAAGTCGAACCCCGCGTTCATCCTCAAGCGAGCCTTGTGCTCAATCCAAACGAACCTCGCGTTCGTTCTCAAGTCGAACCCCACGTTCATCCTCAGGCGAGCCTTGTGCTCAATCCAAACGAACCTTGCGTTCGTTCTCAAGTCGAACCCCGCGTTCATCCTCAGGCAAGTCTCGTGCTCACTTCAAACGAACCCCGCGTTCGTTCTCAAACGAACATTGCGTTTGTTCTATTGTTTTTCTTTTCCGTCGGGTGAAAGAAGAAGGTTGCAGGCAATTTGAGTTAGGGCACAACCACTTAACTCTATTTGGTTTTGGGCCCATTTTTGGTATGCTTAATTTGATTAATTAAGCTATGAGGTCCTAATTAAGTTTTTGGAATTTTTTTTTGTTAATTTGAAGTAAATTATTTAATTTGAATTAAAATTGGTAGTTAATCAATTATTTAATTCAAATAATATGACACTAAGGTATTATATTTGTCTCTCATTCCAAATGATTAATTAAAACAAGAAGTTTCCAAAGTAATCTTGTTTGTGGAAAAATTTGTAGTAAAAAGAAATGAAGAAAAATTGATCTGTATTCCTTTAATCACAGTTACAATTGGATTTCCGATTACAAAAGAGAGAAGAATGATCTGGATTCTCTCCTTTGTTTAAATCTGGGTTCTTCACGGTGGCGATGAGATGCCTCCCTCGAATGCTCGCGTCGAGTTTGCTTCTCGTTGACGATCTGACGTCTTGTTTCACTGGAACATGATCTTCTCCTCATGATTTGACGTTGTGGAGAACTTGTGTGACAAGTTTTAGAACTCTTGATGAGTTGATTGATCTTAATCGTAATTGGTTAGACAAGCCGAAGATCTCTTCTTTGCTGCCAAGGAGAAGGATCCAAAAGCCAGCCCCAAAGATTCAGGATCCGCTACTGCCAAGAAGTTCCAACAGACCGAACCCCTGAACTGAATTGATTTTCAGTTATTTATAGGGGATTAAGGGGTGTAACCACCTCTTTAATTCACTCCTAAGTGGGGCTAATAGGATGTAATCGCCCCTTAAATCACTCCTGAGTGGAGTTGTGATCCCCTCAGATCGTGGGAAATGGTTTTAAAACCGTTCAGCTCGTGTTTGAACGAGTCAAACGCAGGCCCGTGTTTTGGCATGAATTCTGCGTCCAAACGCAATGCCTAAATGCTTGAACGCAACATCTGGAAGCTCAGACGCAGCGTCTGAAAGCTCGGACGTAGCGGCTGGAAGCTGCGTTTGGCGGCTTGGAAGCTGCGTTTGGCAGCGGATGGAAGCTGCGTTTGGCAGCGGATGGAAGTTGCGTTTGGTAGCGGATGGAAGCTGCGTTGGTAGCTTGTTAGAAGCTGCGTTGGCAGCTTGTTAGAAGCTGCGTTTGAAGGATTTAAGAGCTGGTTGGGTAGCGGATGGAAGCTGCGTTGGTAGCTTGTTAGAAGCTGCGTTGGCAGCTTGTTAGAAGCTGCGTTGGCAGCTTGTTAGAAGCTGCGTTGGCAGCTTTGGAGGCTGCGTCTGAGCTGTATTTGGCAGCGGATAGAAGCTGCGTTGGCAGCTTTGGAGGCTGCGCTTGAGCTGCGTTCGTGGCTATGAACATGGTGCGTCTTGATGCTGGTTCGCGGGGATGACTTTCACGTCTTGGTTTGAAGAGACCGTCGATTTGTAGTCTCTTTCTGTCAGAGCGTTGCAAAGATTGTCGTTTTGTAATCTTTGCTTTAGCTCTTTGATATGTGAGAGTCGTCAGATTGTAACTCTCGATGTTGATTGTGAAGGCTGTTGATTAGAGCTTTCATCAGTTGTTGTGAAGATCGTCAGATTGTAACCTTCATCGATCTACGTAAAAGTCTTCAAATTATAACCTTTTGAAAGTCGTCAGATTGTAACTTCCATCATTGGTGTTTGATGGGGAAT